AAATTTTCACTGAGTGGCTCTTAATTGAGGGTGGCGCTTATTTGCGGGTTTTTACGGTAGCTGGCAATACTGATTTGGTGTTTCATCCATTCTTTTGTGAATCCATCATGAGATGTAATACTGCGAGTGGTACTCAACTGGAACGAAGCCTGCTCTTTCAAAAAATAACTCTACCATTATTTTTTAGGACATTCAAACTTTATTTTTAAGCAAATTAATAGAGAGCACTGCAAGTTTTAAAATGGTGCACTTCCGGGCAGTGAGTGCTACCATTTTGTTTGTTAATTCACAAATTAAGAGAAGCAAAACAGTTCATTCTCCATAAAACATCCTCAGAATGTTTTTCATTGATAATGCAATTGATGCAACAGACTGAAAATAGTTTTGAATAGTGTTTCGAGTTATTTTGATCAGCGGCAAAAACACAAATCATGCATATCTTGAATCCCGCTCAACTCGCACATGAACTAACTTGATTTCCGGCAGTGGTGCTCAATCGCTTGCCAGGCATATTAATGCCTACAAATGTTTAATCAAATGTTCTTTTTCTACTCACTTTTACTGACTTCCTTGTCGGTCATAATAGAAACAAATTGGTTTCTCTAAGGACATACAGAATGTTAAAGAACAAGTTTAAAGCTCAAAGCTACTTTGTGGATATGACTTTAATTAGATTTAGAGTTAGTAATCATTATCTTAAAATTGAAACTGGCAGACAGAAACAGACTGCAGTTAATTCTATATGTGACCAATATACATAAAACAAAGTTGAAGATGAATAACACTTTGTTATGAATTGCCAGCATACAGGGTACATAGACTGCATTTATTTAACAAAATAGAAATTCATATATTAAATAATTTTAGAACCAGTAGTGAGAGTCACGTGATAAATTTAGTTTTCCAACAATCATATGTTACTCCCCGTAGCTCAGTTCATTAAGACCAGTCTTATACTAGTGACTGTGTTTTGAATGAGTTTAGAGCATTAATAATGTTTTGTTGTTTTCTTTCTCTATTTGTTTTGTTATGTATGACCAATTTATTTTCTCCAAGAGATATTATGAGTTTATAAATATTATTATTAAACATTTGTCATGCCATAAGTTACAGCGTGCCGTAATCTTGCGGTATTTTACGGGGCATTTTCATTCTACCAATTTAGAAAATGCGAATTCTGAATATGGAATGATTACATTTTCCGGTTTGACCGGACTCAACACAAGAAAGTTTGCTGATTCTGTTCTAAACATTTTGGATTTCAATATTCTCATGGTGTATCCTTGGAAGGAAAAGATGTATAATAATAATAAGGTTATTACGAGAATACCTCAAAGTATGCACAAATACAGTACACTGTCAGATTGACCTTCGCTGTGTGTCAGTCAATACTCTCGCTGTACTGTCTTTGTGCATACTTTGAGGTATCTTCGTAATAACCTCATATTATTACTGTATTACTTGCCACATCAGGAGAATAAAATAAAATTGTCTCAACTTCAAGATATTATAAACAAGCAGCCTCTCGGCTGAGATAGCTCCGCTGTTAGCAATGCACAATTCAATTAAAGAACAAAAGATATCATTAGAAAATTAACAATGTGCATAGTATCAATGCAATGGGACTTGCTGTTTTCAACAAGAATTCAAAAATATCATTTTTCACCATAAATGATTGTGGTTTTTAACAAGAAGAAAATATCACTTTTTACCAAAAATGACAAAAATATTCACCAAAATTAGAGAATTAAAGATATCATTACAAAATGAACAAATCTGAGAGAAGTCCACATGTAGTACCTATATATGTAATATCAAAGTAATTGGACTTGTCGTTTTTAACAAGAAGTCAAAAATATCACTTTTTACCAAAAATATTTACCAAAATTAGAGAATTGAAGATATGATCATGAAATGAACAAATCTGAGAAAGGTCTACCCAAGGTACATATACACCAAGTATCAAAGCATTCAAGCTTGTAGTTTTCAAGAAGAAGTCGAAAAAGTAAAACATTGACACGGACGACGGACAATCACTCATATGATAAGCTCCGCTCGACAAAGTCGACAGTGGAGCTAAAAAAAACTTACATGAGTTGCATATCCTTTATAATCCAAGTTTGGTGGTTCTAAATCTAGACCTCCATCACGTATCCCAGAAGGCCTTGCATCGTCTTCATCTCCGCTCTCCTCACTGCTGCTACAGTAATAATGAGTTTTTTCTCCCAGCAGCTTATCATCTAAAGTTGTCATTTTCTGAATTTATGTATTGCTTTTTTAGTTGTATTTTTGAATTTTAAAAATTACAGTCTCCGCGAAGAGCAAACGAAAGTGTACACACACAAAAGTGCGTTGAACTTCAGAGACAACGGAAAGACGCTTGAATCTGTCTCGTTATTCTTTATGGAATGATGTGAGATTTTTTTTAGTTTGGTGTTGTAAATTTCACAACCCGGTTTTCAATATTGTGAATTACTTATCTTGAAATACGAAGCGTATTTGAAACAATACAGTTCACAGAATATATCTTTTCACAACACACAGTGCGCTGCCATCTTGAATGAAATTGCATCACGGGTAAAATTCAACATGGCCGCTACATGCACGTTTGAAAATTCGCCTCTCGCTGTTCTTGAGACAAGGTAAAGAGAACTCGTCAGATCTCTCCGTTTCTGTAATCTTCAAAACATGGGGTTCCCGACGACAAAACTCATTGGCTCTGTGCATGTATAAACATATCAAATCCGATATAATGACCACTGACGAAGTGTTTTCTTTCGTAAGGGACGGACCACCAGATTTTGGGAGGGTTATCCGACCATAGCCGTGATTTCGCGGCGTTAAAGGGTCCGGCTGTATACCGACGATGGTGTGTAATTGAAAGACGAAGTAAAATACCTTCTCGGACCCAAAACGACGCGAAACCACGGCTAAACCGAGTGTTAGGGATAGGGGGTACAAAAGGAACTCTTGCCTTAAAAATAATTGTTTTTCCCTTGGCCAACTTTGCATATATTTTATAACGTTATTTTATTTATTTTTTACATGGTGTAGACTACTGACTATCTTGTAAGGATCTAGACTGGGGTGACAGTGATGTGTTGCCTGCACCTCCAGACCCCTGGTCATTTTTTAGAGCGTGACAGGGACAGACTAAATTGTTGGTGCCACCCTGCTTACCTTGCATACTTCCCTTGCAGAAAACCTAAAAATCTGATGTTGCTTATCCCCCCTCTGTCTATCCCTGTCACCCCCATGAAATCTAACATTATCTACCCCTTTCAGACAATTCTGTCAAAAATTGTATACATGTAAATGTACCCCTTATCAGACTCGGACACAGTCGGAAAACAAGGACTTAGATTTTGACCCTTGTGCGTCCATGCATCCAGACCTGTATCTTAGACATGCCTGGACCAATCACAATCAAACTTCACACATACATAATATTGCACATATTCACTCCAATGTTTCACTATCTGATTCAAGATGGCCGAATGGCGGCCAAATAATTGTACTGAAAAATCATCAAAATCAAGCATTTCTCGATGGATTTTGTTCAAACATTATATACATTAGACATTATTGGACCTTGATGCAAATCATTTTGTTTTTCAGATAAGCATCAAAATCGCACATTTTCACCATTCCGGACCTGGATCTCAGTTATGCTTGGACGGATTTTGTTCAAATTTGGTACATACATTAAACATAATAGGACTTTGATGCACGTCATTTTGTTTTTGGATCGGGTTTGAAATGGCCGACTGGCGGCCATTTTGTTTTAAAGAATTCAGTTCTGGATCCGTATCTGAGACATGCCTGGATTGATCGAGTTCAAACTTCACACACACAAGGTACATCATGTCACAAATATGTATGTGCATTTGTTTCATGATCTCATTAACGATAGCCAAATGGCGGCCGCTTTAAGGCCGAAAATGCATTGAAATCGCACATTTTCACCATTCCGAACCCGGATCTCAGTTATGCATGGACGGATTTTGTTCAAATTTGGTACATACACTAAACATAATAGGACCTTGATGCACGTCATTTTTTTTTTTTTTTTGGGGATCGGGTTTGAAATGGCCGACTGGCTGCCATTTTGTTTTAAAGAATTCAGTTCTGGATCCGTATCCGAGACATGTCTTAATTGATCAAATTCAAACTTCACACACACATGGTACATCATGTCACAAATAGATATGTGCATTTGTTTCATGATCCGCTTAACAATAGCTGAATGATGGCCATTTTAAGGCCGAAAATGCATCAAAATCACGTATTTTCACAAATGCAGAACCGGATCTCAGTCATGCATGGATGGATTTTGTTCATATTTAGTACAATGTGTTGTTACCTATGCAGGTGCATTTCAGATCAGACCACTGAAAGTGGTCTGAGATTTCGGTCATGATCTGCTTTGAATGTATATGTCACTCAAATATGAACGGAATGGGAACGTGTCATTGACAATGACTTGTTTTAATTAATGCTGTTCCAGAGCAATATCTCTCAATATGGACAAGTACTCGTTTGACGATCAGATACAAATGACAATCATTTTAATGTTAAACAATCATCATAATCATATTCCTAACATGGTTATATTCCAGCTATATTACTATAAACAAAACTATATATCTTAAATTTGATAACTAATGGGGACTGTGCCATGCATGGCTTCTTTTATATGGGTTGCAAATTGCATTAGATTTGTATGGCTTAAACCACAGTCTGCTGCAATCAAATAAAATGTGATCAGTCCAATGATATTTGATATATGGGGAAGCCATCTTAAATACAACTCGAATACAACAAGTTGAGAAACGTTTTTTTTTTTTGCAGATTATTACAAATCAGGAAAAAATATGAAAGTTTCACAATAAAATGATCCATTGAAACCAACTGCTAACAAAACTATAATTTGGCTGAAGTTGTGTGTGGTAAAATTCCTGGCATGAGGACACCTCATTACCTGAAGAACCCTAGAATGCCAGTCAGCAACAGTCTTACAGTTTAATGAATATTGCTCAATAATGTGCTAAATTGAAACTCTGTGAAAATGCAGCAAAGTTAACAGAAGAATCTATTGTTTTGTTTACAAACAGGTTTAAAGCCTAGCCAGTATCCTTACAACATAAATCTACTACCGTATTAAAAATTGAGTTGATTATATTAATTATATTGAAATTGACATTTTAATATATTTTTGGAAATCTTTACTTCAGTGCCATCATGAATAAATATTATGATGAAAACACTTGTGAAAAGCAGTGTTAAATTGAATTCCATATATAAAATGAAAATCTGATTTAAATCATGGTTTATCTGTATATCTGTTTAACTTCAAATACAAGGACACAACAATAAGTTGTGAAATCATGAAGAAGCTAGCTTCAGGCTGATCCAGGTCTCATTGGTAGCTATCACAATAACTTTGAGAGAAATGTAAATACAACAGGAGATGATCACTTTATTATCATCCGAAAACACTGTAAATTCTTTATTTTCATGAAACAAATGTTTGCTAATTGCAAATAAACAAGGAAAACTACCAGTATTGTGATTTGTAGCTGCAGTGAATTTCATCTTGCATCAAGACCAATCACAGTAACTTGTATCTGTTATGAATTTTTTCTTGGATCTTTGAGACCCTGAGTGACTTTCAAACACAACATTTTGTCTTCACAACAGCTCTCAAATAAAACCGAATTGTGAAAGTTGGTAGCATTATCTCAGTTGAATTGATTTATATTAGAACTGACATACCCCTGTATATGTAAATGTAAAAACTAATGCTGCAGTAAAGATTCTGCATGTAAATTACCAAGCATACTTGTATGCTAAATTAAATTGCAATTTTAAAGCTCTTATCCGATTAATTATGCATGAAAAACACTTCAAAATTAAATTTGATAAAAAAAAGATTGAAATTGTAAAGAGGTCAAAAGACTAATTAAAATCAAAATTAAGAATATGAACACCAAATTACTTCTTCAGATTACATTTTTGTACTCATTCAGTCCTATAAGACGTATATAAAAAAAATCAAATGACAATAGTGCTTTATAATGAATTTTAATCACCATAGAAATCATAGACACAAGATCGGCTCATGCTCCATGTATATTCATGATTAAATAATCAAAGATTGTCAGAGGAATTTTTGATTGAAAGTCATCTTTTGTAATTTAAGCTCTTCATTCTTTTTTTCAGTATGGGTGTAATAAGTATTGAATTATACTGGCACCATGCTCCTCGAACTTGTACAAACTTTGCTGAACTTTGTAAGCGTGGCTACTACAATAATTGCAAGTTTCATCGTGTAATTAAAGATTTTATGATCCAAGGAGGAGACCCAACTGGAACAGGTAAGGCATCAGAATTCAGGAAATGTGTGCATCATCAATTATTGTCTGGGCTCCGGGTGACTACTCACCAACTGAAAGCAAACTAAATTCAGCCATCCCGATTGCACTGCTTGGTAATATGAAAGTAACTTTTTTAGCTACGCTTATCATACGAGTGATTGTCCGTCGTCGTCGTCCGTGTCAATGTTTTACATTTTCGATGTTTTCTTGATAACTACAAGCCTGAATGCTTTGATACTTGGTGTATATGTACCTTGGGTAGCCCTCTTTTAGATTTGTTCATTTCAAGATGATATCTTCAATTCTCTAATTTGGGTGAATATTTTTGTCATTTTTGGTAAAAAGTGATATTTTCAACTTCTCGTTAAAAACTGCAAGCCCGATTGCTTTGATATTATATATGTAAGTACTACATGTGGACTGCTCTTAGATTTGTTCATTTTGTAATGATATCTTTAATTCTCTAATTTTGGTGAATATTTTTGTCATTTTTGGTAAAAAGTGATATTTTCGACTTCTTGTTAAAAACCGCAAGTGCAATTGCTTTGATATTACATATATAGGTACTACATGTGGACCTCTCTCAGATTTGTTCATTTTGTAATGATATCTTTAATTCTCTAATTTTGGTGAATATTTTTATCATTTTTGGTAAAAAGTGATATTTTCGACTTCTTGTTAAAAACCGCAAGTCCAATTGCTTTGATACTACATATATAGGTACTACATGTGGTCCTCTCTCAGATTTGTTCATTTTGTGATGATATCTTCAATTCCCTAATTTTGATGAATACAATGTATTTTTGTCATTTTTGGTAAAAAGTGATATTTTTAACTTTTTTATACTATGCATATTGTTCATTTTCTAACGATATCTTCAGTTCTTCAATTGAAATGTACATTGCTAACAGCGGGGCTATCTCAGCCGACAGGCTGCTTGTTATGGTTTGCCCTGTGTGCGTTCGTGCATCCGTGATCACCTGTATCTCAAACATGCATTAACCGATTAAGTTCAAACTTCACTCATACATCATACATTATATGGGACATATGCAAATGCATTTTTTTTATGATCCAATTAACGATAGCCGAATAGCGGCCATTTTAAGGTCGAAAATGCATCAAAATCGCACATTTTCACCATTCCGGACCCGGATCTCAGTTATGCATGGATGGATTTTGTTCAAATTTGGTACATACATTAAACATAATAGGACCTTGATGCACGTTCTTTTTTTTTTCGGATCTAGTTCGAAATAGCCGACTGATGGCCATTTTGTTTTAAAGAATTCAGTTCTGGATCCGTATTCGAGACATGTCTGGATTGATCAAGTTCAAACTTCACACACACATGGTGCATCATGTCAAAAATAGATATGTGCATTTGTTTCATTTGTTAACAATAGATGAATGATGGCCATTTTAAGGCCGAAAATGCATCAAAATCACATATTTTCACAATTCCGGAACCTGATCTCAGTCATGCATGGATGGATTTTGTTCAGATTTAGTACAATGTGTTGTACATATGCAGGTGCATTTCGGATCAGACCACCGAATATGGTCTGAGATTTCGGTCATGATCTGCTTTGAATGTATATGTCACTCAAATATGAACGGAACGGGGACGTGTCATTGACATTGACAATGACTTGTTTTGTTTTATTTTCACATTTTTACAGTTCTACTACATACATTTGTACATCAGTGAACACATCTTTATTTACATATAGATACATGTATCTGCTGCAAATGACATGAATTATTTTGCTTCTTTTTTTTACAGGTAGAGGAGGTGCTTCAATTTATGGCCGACATTTTGCAGACGAAATCTCCCCTGAGCTAAAACACACAGGAGCTGGTATTCTCTCAATGGCTAATAGCGGTCCTAACACAAATGGAAGTCAGTTCTTCATAACATTGGCACCTACACAGTGGCTAGATGGTAAACATACAATATTCGGCAGAGTTTACGGTGGTATTAGTGTGGTCAACAGAATGGGTATGGTAGAAACTGACACGAATGATAGACCTCTGGATGACGTTAGGATTCTCAACTCGTATACTTCCACACTGTAATCAACTCGTAAAGATGACAGATTCTTTTTGCACCAACTGCTGCATTGTGGAGGGAAACTTTACTCATGCAAGAGCATACCGAACACTGAATGAATGCATTCTAAACTTATTTCATAGTGAAACATTTTTTTTATTATCTTGTAAAACAAGTACAGAAATCTTTTGTAGGAAGAACTTACATGCACACTTGAAGCTTTTTTTCACAATATTGAAAATGACAGGAGATA